AGCCTGGTGGGATTTGAACAGCTGAACTGCTGAACTGCAGTCAGCTGAAGTAGCCTGCAGTGCTGCATTTAACCACTGCGCCACCTCGGCTCTTAATGTAATAATCTGTTATTATACTAAGAGAAAAAGTGCACAACCCTGGCTGCCCATGGCTCCCGAAAGCCCTGGGTGTATGCATCAGACACCTCTGGAAATGCTTACCAAATTTTAATTTTTAATGCGATAGATTGAGGAAATTTTGAAATGCTTAATTGGAGAGTAATCACATCAAGACTAATGTTTAATTTTAATGAAACGTAAATGAAATCACAATACAGTTTGATGTCACGCATATTGAGGCCCTTAGCCTAGCAGGAATTGTGGACTTTTGCACAAACACTGGTTTTAATGTCTCATTTGAGATGAATACCAAGTTGGGACATTCCATTGTTGCTAAAATACTGTTTAAAATGCTCACAGCTAGCAAATCTTAAGTACTAGGCCGAAATAGGAAAATGTCTGTCTCCTAGAGCCTTTTCCGGGCATTGGCATTTGCAAGGGATGTGTGAATATATTTGTGTGTGTCAAGTCCAAAACATGCACCGTGGTTCAGAAAGTGTGACTTGCATACTTGCAGCAAACATTAGGATGCAAATGTGCATCATTACATCACTATATCTGTGTCAGAGTTTGAAGCAATCTCAGTTTGCTGTGTTTCAAAAGCTTGCTTAGAAGGAAAAGGCATGGAGATGGTAGAAGTGATAAATGGAAAGTTCCAAAAGAAAGACTGAGGAATTAAACAACTTTACTCATTAACATTTGGGCTGGTGCTGTTCCCGATGATTAAGATTCAGGTTTTAGCAGATTAAGAAAAGGAAAGTATAAAAAAAAATGTGGAGGCCAGTTCAGGTTATATTCCTCCTGCACAACAGGCAGAGAAAATCATTTTCTCATGTTTGCTGGAGAGTGGCATAATATTAAAAGCTACTTAGTCTTTGCAGGCTTTTTGAATGTGAATTCTTATAAGACTTTTCTGCTTGGTTTTCCAGCTGAAAATGCCCTCTGCCGATACTTCAGCAATGAAAGAATCCCACCCATTATTGAAGAAAACTCCCCTTTGCAACATCCATTTCCCAGACCAGTGGCGGAAAAACAGTTAGTAAAAGGCGCCGACTACATCAGGGGTAGCAGGTGTTTTGTTAACGTGGATCTCCACAACAGTGCAACCATCCCTTTCCAGGAGGATGTTGCTAAAAGGCCGCCTGTGACCACGTCCACGAAATCTTCCTCCACAGAACCCTCTTTGCTGGTTAGCTGGATCACAAGGTTGAGGTTATTGACTCATTGAGTAGATTGGATGGAAAGTGGCTGAATGTCTCACCAAGTGCCTTCTTTTATTCTCCAGTCCAAGAGATCTCTATTTCCTAAAGAGATATTTAGTGGCTATGTCTTTTATTCCCCTCCTCCTCCTTCAGAGAATCCTTCTTTTTCCCTAATGTTGCTATCTCAGATTCACTGGTGGAGCTGGGGGAGGGGAGGAGAGTTATTGGAGAGGCAGAGGAGATCTCAAGATGTTTAAAAAACAACAACACCTGCCTATGAAGAGAACTTCCACGTAGTCCTCCAGAGAAATCAGTACAGGTTGAGAACTTCAGGAGTCACTGCTAATGTGAAATCAATGGATTCTTGTCAGAAGCAGTCTCTACTTTGGCCTAAGGTCAGGTGGCCTTTCATTTGCTCAGATGCTATGCAGCTATTCATATGTGGAGGCTTTGTAGCACTGAGAGAAAAACCTCTAAGCTCCAAATCTGACCAAGGAAGAGGAAAGGAGAAGGTGTCATTCTGCTTCAAAACTATGCAACTTGCAAGTGCCTACGGAAGCTACAGCTCTAAGGGAAGAGAAGGCTTTCTTCAGTCCTTCTGGTTCACCACAAATATCACTATTTTGGGTACAATCCCAATTATTAAAACCTCAGTGCCGTTTTGAGTTATCCTTGCCTTAACTGCTGCAGTCTTGATCCCCTTGACATAGATTGTCACCACATGTCACCGATATGCCCTTTAAGTGACAATGGTAAAAACTAAAGGAATGTATATTTTCTTGTGGAAAAATATAAAAAGACTGAATAGCTGTTAACCAAAGTGGTGTTTTAAAACCCTGCAGACTTCTGGAGAATCCTGGTGGGTCAAGGTTGAACTGGGTTGATGTTGTTTGTGTTATAAAGATTGAGTTCTGATAAATGACAATGTTGTTAAAACAGTTTGCTATGTTAAAACACTGGTAGACAAAATTGTGTCTGTCCCAATTATTTCCGTAGCATTGGGTTGGAATGGGAGCCATTTATGCAAGAAAGTAATTGCAAAATGACTAAGAATGTGTTGTTTTTTTAATGTAAAAAAGAGTATTGGTATAGTTTCACAAAGAGCGTTCATTTTTAAAATAATTTAAAAATGGCATTGTGCTGTATTTTTCTGTTAAAGTTTATTTATTTGGATTTAGAGGTCATTCAGTGTATTCCCTTAGTTACTAATGAGTACGAACCAATGGTGGGCTTCCATTTTTTAAACTACCAGTTCGCTCGTGTGTGCTCACACATGTGCGAGATGCTTCTGTGCATCTCTACCACTGCCACTACCAGTTTGCCCGATCCGGGCCAAACTGGCAGAAACCCACCTCTGGTACGAACCTATTGTTATCTTATCTCACTTAATTAACTCATTTAGATGATTTCAGGACAGCTGTGAAGGTGCCATTGTTATTAGATTTGTTATAGTCATATACTCCCAAAAACCTCTTTTGGGGTATATTATTTGCAATGAAAAAGAAAAAGGTAGATTTTACATTGCTTTCAAATATTGGATTGACTTCCATAGGTTGTATACTAGGCAGTTCATGACAAATCTATCAACTAAAAATGTTAATTTTGAAACTAATAAGGCTTTTTTTTTACATTTGGAAAATAGGCATCACATAATCTATGAAGCTAAAGCAAATTAGATTCTATTCAAACTGCTAACTGAAGCTGATCAACATAATATGCCTTGTAGACAAGAGCCAAAAATGAGACAGCAATATTGCTTTCACACCCAACCTGATAGTGGTATCAGTTCAACAAACTCCAGTAATGCTGGAGTCATCATGCCTTATTTTGTTTGCGTTCCCATTGTATCAAAAATATTTGCAAGTAGCCCTCGACTTACAACAGTTCATTTAGTGACTGTTCCAAGTCACTAAATGGCCCTGAAAAAGTAACTTGTGGCTGTCCCAAATTGCTTCTTGAAAAACAAGAAGCAACTGGACTTTCTGGGTTTTCTTTGAAGATGTTTCACTTCTCCTCCAAAAAGCTTCTTCAGCTCTGACTGAATGATGGGGAATGAAAAGAGCTTCAGAGCTTCTTCAGCTCTGAAATGATGGGGAATGAAAAGATTCCGTTCCAGTACCTTTGAGACAACCATGACCTGGATGACTGAGAATCTCCATAGACATGTCACTTATGGCCATATTTCACACTTATGACAGTTGTAGTATCCCCATGGTCAAGTGATCAAAATTCAGACACTTGGCAATTGATTTCCTATCTATGACAGTCACAGCATCTTGGGGTCATGTACCTTTTGTAAGTTTCTGGCAAGCAAAGTCAAGTGGGGAAGCCAGATTCACTTAACAACTGACTGTTTACTAACTTAACAACTGCAGCCATTCGTTTAACAAATCGTGGCAAGAAAAGTCATAAAATAAGGCAAAGCTCACTTAACAAACATTTCATTTCACAACAGAAATTTTGGGCTCAATTGTGGTCTTGCATAGAGAACTACCTGTATTCTAAAGGGAAAGACACTTCCTCCACACACTTTTCCCCAAAAACTCAAATGGAACTGAAATTCAGAAATGTCTATAAAAATTTGGATAAGTGTACTACAAAGAATTCTCATAAAATTTAAACAGTTCAAATACAATGATAGAGGAGGATGTTTCTAATACTAGCAAGTTATCTTGGGGGTTTCAACAAGTTGGACAAGAGACCTAACATGCTTTTGATATGTCTGTTTAATCAAGCTGATAATTTCTCTACAAGTTGAGGCAGAAACCACTGCTGTGGCAAAAGAAGGAATCTTGTGCCTTAAAACCTTTCCCAGCTTAGCTAGCAGGTAATGGAAGGTACATACTGAAAATAATAAGAGAGAAAAAGGTGATTGTACTACTGATTGTGAGTCAAGAAGCCCTGAGTTGAGATGTTATCTGACATTTAATGTGTAATCCTGATTGGACTCCCATTTAGCCTTTGCCTTCTATCTGTAAGAGTGGGGTAATGCTTACATTGAATGAAGATTTGTCTTTTTAAATTTGTAAATGAACCGATGAGGCATAGTGGAGCCTAATCCTGATTTTACTATTTTTAGAGTAAAAGTTCTGAAAAAACATATCAAAGATTATTTTGAACGAAGGCATGGAGAATTGTTACGGAGATGTTTGCATCGCTCAAGCACTGTGTTTCCTTTGGTGGGTTATAGAGTACAGATTCAAAACAGTGCAACCCCCCCCCCCCCCCAAGTCTACTTTTCACTATTCCAACTGTGGGGCCATTGATTAAAGTACAGGTAGTGCTTGACTTATTTAGTGACCGTTTGAAGTTACAATGGCAGTGAAAAAAAATTGACATGACTTTTTTCACACAACTGTTGCAGCATTCTCATGTCATCGAAATTTGCCTTGTATTTACGAAGGTTGCAGTGTCCTGTAGTCATGTGTTCACCTTTTTTTTACGACATTCTGACAAATAAGAGTCAGTGGGGAATCCAGATTCAGTTAACAAGCATGTTACTAACAATGCAATGATTCATTTGACAACTATGGGACGAAAGGCTGTAAGATGGAGCAAAAGCCAACAACTGTCTTGCTTAGCAACATAAATTTTGGGCTCAATTGTGGTCCTACGTCAAGGACTACCTGCATTTATAGTAATGGGTTATGATTTATAGATAGTGGCTAAAGGAATTAGGTATGTTGCTCCAGAAGAAAAGACTAAGAGAAGAGAATATAACAACAGCCTTTGAATATCTAAAATGCTGTGATATAGAGGAGGGAGTGGACTATTTGGTTGCCCCGAAGGGCAAGACTAAACAATCGGGAAGAAATAGAATCAGCATAGATATGGGAAGTTTCCTGGTGGTAAGTGCTGTCAACCAGTATAATGGCTTGCCTCATAAAATGGTATGTTCTTTTTCACTGGAGGTCTTCAAACAGATCCTGGAGAGCCATCTTGGAATTGCTCTAGAAAAACTGACATTAAATTGGACTCGATTAGGTGTTTCAAACTTTCAGGCCTTGCAACTTCCCAGATTTTTTTAAAAGAAATTTCTTGGGACCTGATGATGGGCCAAAGTCCATTAATCTCTCATGAAATATCATCTACCCACAGAAGCACAGTTGGAGAAATCATCTAGAACTACATGATCTCTGAGGTAATCTTGGAACTATGCTTGTATGAATTCAGTGCCCGTAATAGTTCTTTCCTCTAGGGTATATTTCAAGGATCTCTTAACAGAATTCTTTAGAAATAGATACCACCGCTTTAGAAGGCAGTAGGCATGCAAATTTCAGTTATATTTCTTCTATTTTAGAAAATACAGAAAGCAGAACAATTGTCCCGCCCAGGCCAGCTGCATTTGAATTCTTTGCATCAATGAAAAGGAGAAAAATTTAAACCCGCTCACAATTACCCATTGCAAAGAATATGTCTCCATGGAAAGTGACCAGATACAGTAGGAGGTCTTGCAGATCTAAACTATAATATAGTCTTTTTACATTTTACGCATGCAGCAAATGCATAAAAATTACCAGAAAAATTAATGGCTTTGCTATCTGTAATCATGCATATCCATGGAGATTCTCAGTCATCCAGGTCATGATTGTCCAAAAGGTGCTTTTTCAAAAGGCAACTAGACTTAGTTTTTTTCTTGAAGATGTTTCACTTCTGATCTAAGAAGCTTCTTCAGTTCCCTCCAGATCTTCATCCAAGAACCGAAGAAGCTTCTTGGATGAGAAGTGAAATGTCTTCAAGGAAAAAACCAAGTCCAGTTCTCTTTTGACAAAGCATCTTTGGTTATAATCATGCATGTAGTAAAGTTCAACTGTTTTTAGCCTTAAGCGTTTATGTACACAAGGGAGCAGTTCCTAAGTGCTGCAGTTCCACAATGGGAAATAGGGCAAAACATATGAATTGGTCAGAATCTGTCTACCCTTGGACTGCCACTCTTGGTGGGAATCAGCCATAAAATTAGCCTTTCTGTATGTGGTTGTTGTAATTTGCAAGATATGTGCAGTTTTATAGTGCTGATTCTATGGTTGCAGAGAAGGCCATAGCTTTACTGCAAAATAAATTTAACTTGTTGAGAAGTGGAAGCCAATTAAGATTTTAAAAATGAGATTTGCCAGCTTCCTTTATAATTAACTGCATATTCCTGCCCGGGATATGATAGCTGACCTCTACTTCACAAGTCCTTCTAGGTTCATTTGGAATTCAAAATCAGCTTGTCCTTTTTTGTATGTGTGAAAAAGCAATTTTTACTTTAATTTTGCTGGTGAGTGATAAAGTAACAAATGAACCTTGCTATGAAGTCTGCAGTCAAAGGAAGTCACTACTTTGGGATTGGCAAAAAAAAAAGTGTTTAAGTAGATACCAACAGTTTTAAGTGGATGTTTGCATTTTTGTGCTGTATTGAAACCAGCAACACCACTCTTGTTATCCTAAACTTTGTCTAAGTTTTCACACTTAAATTTAAATCAATTCATCACAGTGTAAACAGATTTATTCTATCCTGCAATTCCCAGGCACCGCCAAAATCTGCATCCTGGAAACTGCCCAAGGAGAGGAAATTCCCACACTTTCCAGAACCATAATGAAATAGGATTGAAAACGATCTTCCTCCAATTCCTTGTTTATCATGTAATTGTCATTAGTTAGGAGAACTATTGTTTCAGTTCGGCCCATTGGAGAGATACATATTCACAACCATAAGAATTGAAATAGGTACAGAAATAAGGTAGTCAGTGCAGAATTTAAATTTCTGGCAATCTCCACTTTTAAATATGGAAAACATGCTTCTAACTCTCGTACCTGACTCCAATAAAATATAGATGAAGTTTCTTGAATTCCAAAAAAATCCTAAATAACATTTCCATTCAAGGCATGGAGCTCTAATGACCTCGTTGATTCCTTTGCCTGAAGTACATTGTACCAAAAAGCAACACATATACTGTATAAGTAAAATATACATGTGGAAATGGAGC